TGCCACCGCTCTACCAGCCCAGCACAGCCCATCACAGCACAGCCACCTTGCCTTGTTATATCCCTCCCTCTCCCATCCACAGGACGACCTCGTCCGACAGCACACAGCACACTCAAGAATTGTCTAACCCTATTGTTACCTAGGGGGCGGGTCCGCAGCACTGTAAGAAGAAGCTCGCAACGGGGGCAGATTCTCCTCTCTTATTGGGTCTAGAACACGAACTGGAACACCACCAGTAGGTGTAACAGACCTGCTCGGTCTGTATGAGGACACCGAAGACGCTCTTAACATTCCGCTTTGATAACCACTCTATCTTAGGGTCGAGCCTATTTCTATATCAATGTTGCTCGGTGGCTCTGGGGTTCGCTCTTGGAATCCTTCCTTAACTGACTGAGCAACGCGAGGGAAGAGAGGGTTCACTCTTAGCGTTGGGATTCTGTCCTAAGGGTTATTACTGTCATATTCTGAACCTATTCTCTCTTCGCTATATAGGTCGATATGAGCCTACAATATCTGGTTCGTATTCTCTTAGTTAATGAGATCAACAACACTTTCATCTGGAGTGGCTATCATAATAGGCTTTGATGGCTGCCACCCACTGGTTTCTACGCGAGACGGCCATAATAATGGTATCTTTTTATCTCTGATAATAGCTTGATGAATATCCTGAATGAGTTGAACTCGATGGGAAGTGTCGATTTTGACTTCTTTAACAGCTTCAATACCGTTTTCCATAAGAGCTCTGGCCCAAAAGATGACAAACATTCCGCAATCATAGCCATTTAGTTGTTTGTTGACATTGACATTCTGAAATGTGAACTGTCTACCGTCTTCGAGCTTTGCTCGAACTTGAGAGTTAAGATACTCCAAAATGATCGAAATCATTGAGTCTTTTGCCGTGCGCTTCCCAATCGAATCCATAGCGTAAACGATTCGAGAATCGGGATCGACGTATACTAACCACCAATGGTTGATCTCTCGATAGGGGATCAGCTTCTTCTATGTAAACTTATCTTGTCGCCACGATCGCGGCTAGGTTGTAAACGTAAATGTCTCTCGAACGTTATATAAGTAGATTACATTCCATCTGTCTTCCACTTAGTGCTTTCGGTAGGCCGCGATGCCTCCAATAACGTAATCCATAGATAACTAACCGTCATGATCCGCACTAAGTAAAAGATATTTCAATTCTTTCTTATCAATCATACATCCTCCCGAGTAGTAATTCCCGCCGCGAAGAGATTTCTTTGCTCCGCGACTGTGCTCTTCAAATTTCTTCAAAGCGTCTCGAATTCGCTAAATTTCTGACGTGCCTTTTTCAGCCTCTACTCTTTCTATGATTCGAATTGCTTCGAGGGCAGCGTAACACTGAAGAGATTACCTCGAACTAACATCAGTCGGCAATGCTCCGATCAATCTTTGAAATGCTCGTGTGACAGCTTTAAATCCGTACTGAACCACTCCATCCGCTTACCGCTTCGTCAAAGTGCCTTTGCCGGTATTGTACCTAACTCTCTTAAACCAGTCCATGACAATCTCCTATGCTAGTCTTTCCACATTGGAAGGATTCCTCAATGGGTTTTGTTTATACAGTCTCGTATTAAAGGGCGAAGATAACTCTTGAAACTCTTTACGGAGATATTTACTGTTGGTAATGGTTTCTTTAGCTTCCGTGAACGCTTATTCGGTGGACGAGAAGTGTATTCGCTTGGGAGCTCTCACTTCTATCTCTGAAAATGTTCTCAGAACTAACGGTATTAATCGCGGTCTCTTTCTGGGCTGAATCACTATTTTGATGTATTCGTTTCGAATTTCCAATTACTTTTTAGCCGCTTCCTTAATTACGACTTCTCTTTCTTTAATTTCAGTAAGCTTTTCCATTATAGACTTATTCTTAAAGTAATCCAGGATATTTCGCTTCCAATATCTCTGCTCTCCTTCCGGTCATTTCTTGGGTACGGTCGGCAAAGGCGAAGATTTTGTCGCTTATCCTTAGAAGTTCTTTAACTAATCCCCGGTCTCGCCTTTCGCTAATATCTTACTAGATCTCTTCTCTATGGATTTCTTAGTAGGCGGTTTTACAGTTAGTTTCTTTCCTATAATGAGATTCTATTCGACCTAATTAATTTGGCTAATCGGTACCCCTGGGAGACCCTCGGTGGGAATCAAATTGTATATATTTAGTGGCTCTACACCATTTAGCCAGTGTAACCCATTCTTTAACTGAAGATGATATTCTAAACGCGCAGCTGCAACTTGTGGATGCTCATAATCATTCATGGCGTTTCTGAAATCGTCTAGGTTCGACCATGCCGTAAAGATATCGATTCGTTGCGGTGCTAGCTAAGAAAACTTTGCACCCGTGAGACCGGCCAGTCGTTTCATCATTTGATGATCAATTCGACGCAATACATTCATAGGTGTCTCGTCCCGCAGCTTAAGCGCCATTCTTACACACTAGAGCTCCTCTAGTGTATACGCTATATTGCTCAACCACTATATCACGATACCTTCCTAAAATTCTTCGGTTATCCATTGCCTAAACTTCCGGCTGACCGTATCCCTGCCGCTCGTATCCTTTAGAAATAGAGTCACATTCTAGCTTCTAGCATGATTAACATCTTTAATGAATCTTCTCTTAATTTCGTTGTACTTATTTCGGTTGTCAACCGCTTCTTTAATCAATGCTTAAAATCTTTTAGCCTTCTCATTCTTAACCACTTCATTTTTAAACACTATCTCTAATTCTAGATCGCCTTTAATGCAATTAGCGATTTCTAGCACGAACTTTTCACTTAACTATTGTATTCTTTCGACTGTTTAGATGGCTTATCTAACCTATTCGGTCACGTCGATTCCTTCTTTGCGATATAATACTAGCATTTCCCGTGGTGGTTTTTAAATCGAGAAATGACGAGAATGCGACATCTAAACATTCAATACTGTAGCCGTACCAAGAGCAATGCCTCTAAAACTATGAATGAGTTACGTTCCGACCATTACATTAGGTCTTTATAAGGGAGCTTAGGTTGCCCACGGGCTAACCTCAATGGTGCCTTGTCTCCGAATCGCTACTTGCTACTGCTGATTTGAGGGCGTTAGTGTGAACGGATCTGGTAACGGAGTAACATGCTGAGGCGTTTACGGAACTTGCCATTGCGGTGTTATTGGTGTGGAATTAGGCGCAAGCCCTTGTACGCGACGAGATCTTCGCGGAGTGTCTTGATTGCTCATATTACTTAAAACTATTTATAAATAATTAAAGCTCGGTTTTCTTAATGAAAAATACACTAAATGAAGCTATAAAAATGGTGCAGCGTTGTTTTTCGAGGTTAATGAAGATATCCTTTGAATATTCGTTAGGAACGGAGAGAATTGAGTGATTACTTGACGGAATAGAGTAAAGACGAGAGGGAAGAGACAGTAGAAATAGTCGAGAGCTAACTTAGCCGCCTATTAACTCCACTACTCGTTAGGTGGCGAACTCCGTCACATACTAACGTCACTACTATGTATTTACGTCGGTTTTAGTTCCTTCTTGCCTATTCTTTCACTTATAAAGTGCTGTCTACGAACTAAGTGAGAAATGCTTCGGTGGTCGCGGTGGCGGCGTCTTAGCATTCATCCGCTCGACTCCTCACTCGCCTTCAGTGTCATTTACAGTCCAGGTGGTACTTCCTTCTCTTTAATTGATTAATCAGCTCGCTTGTTCATAGTTCCCGTAAATAAATCACTCTGTATCGCTGCTATTACTGTATTCTATCATCGTATCCATTTATACTGTGAATCCCGATTTACGCGCCGCAACACCTATACTTCGCCGTAACGTACGGACCGCAAGGCTACCACTAAATATCTTTTTAAATTTACGCTAGCCCATTAGCCTCTTAGCGGAACTATTTTTAGATTTAACATATGACTAGATAAACCAATCTATACCAAAGGCTACCAAAACACCACAAGCTGTTCCCTCTATAATTCTCATCTTCATTCTATTCACCACCCACCCATACATCTCAAGAGTCATCCTAGAAGTAAATGGGCGAGCGCAGACAGTTAATAATACTCACTCTATAGAAATTAAACTAAATGAATTAAAATATAAGAGAAACTATGACAGAGTTGCCGGTGTTGCTGTGCCGTCCCCTCTGTCACAGTAGCACCAACCGCAAATATTGAATCTACTCTAAATAACAACTCAATTAACTAAAACTCCAGTAATAGACTCAATGAAAGGTAAGCGAATATAAGGATAGCCACAGGGAGCTCGCCTCTCTTCCTATCTCATATGAGCAAAGCCGCCTCTGTTTACTCAGCGAGTCCTTTTTGGATCATTCTCTTCGTCCACGTCCTAATCCGCGAAACCCTCGGAAACCTCTTCCTCTACTAATTCTTCTAGGAGGAAGGGGAAGCTCGATGACAAAGTTAGTCCGGAGCCGTCCTTGATTGCCCCCTCTAGCTCCGCCTAATACCTGGACCAGCGGGGTTACATGAGCAGCCGGAGCCCTTCGAGGTAGGCGCCTAGCCCGAGTTCCAACGACTTCACTGCTTAATTCCCCGGAACTGTTTCGATCATCGATACATTCACCCCGCTCTTCTTTAATCTCGTTTATAAAATCGCTGCTATCATTCCCTTCGGTAATTACTGCTCTTGTCACCGCATCACTTAACTTTGCTGACTCGAATCGATCCGGGTCACGCGGATAGAAACGCTTTAGCCGATTAGCAGCAAAGATTCCATGAAGCTTCGCACCATCTAATTCACATAAGATATAGTTATTATGGGTCGGATTTACCTGCAAAACTCGATACGGGCTCATTCACCGGAAGGAGAGCTTCTTAGAGCTTAACATGTTTATTAAACTAAACGTGTTATGAACCAGAACTAGCATTCCTTCTTTTAACTTCTCTATTCGGATTCGATGGCGTTTATCGAAATACTCCTTGCCTCGCTTACGTTACCGCCTCAAACGTTCTCGCGCCTCTTTCAGATCCTCTTTACGTCTCTCAAGTGCGCGCGCTCGCATTCTCACAAGTTCTCCAGTGGTATGGGCCTCTTCCTATAGCATCAATTCCCAAGTGATAATATTTAGTTCAATGGGTAGTTTCGGCCGATCGAGATACTCCAATTCGTATAGAGTAAAGCCCGTACTGGCTTTAATAGTTATCCGATCCGCCCACAATACAATATGTAAATAGTCCATTTAGTCTTTACGGTCCGGCCTCTTACACGTCTTCGTAAGAGCGTCCGCAGCAGCTCGATGACTCACTTCCACTTAGCCATTTGCCTGAGGATAATACGTAGAAGTGACCACTCTTTTAATGTTGTATTTGTTCATTAAAGTAATTATTAAGTCCTTATTTTCAGGCCCTTCATCAACGACTAGCTTTCTGAATATTCTATAGCGACAGATTAGATCTTCCTAGAGGAATTTTACCACTAATATACTATTATTCTTAGCCAGCCCGCGCGCTTCCACCCATCCGGAGAAGACACTTCTAGCCTCCACTAGATAAGCTTTCCCCCGTGATTTTAGCATCGGCGTCACATCCATATGAACAGTCTCCCATCTTTTATCAACGTAAGTGGGCTTCATCTCCTCTTTAATTCTCCGCGAGTCTCGAAACTGACATTCTGTACACGTCTTTTTGTATTCTTTCACCATCGTATACATACCATCCCAATGGTATCGATCCGTAATGCGTCGATAAGTAGCCTTAACTCCTTTATGCCCACTTTCATCATGCAGTTCTTTCAAAATCCGTTGCTTTATTTCTTCCTTATTCATCACTCGCCGCGCAGATCTTATAGTGTCAGGTCTTCGGAACAAGTGACCGTTTCGTATAAAGCATTTCAGTGCTTCTCGCTTCATCCTTTTAAAGTCATCGTTGTTCATCCCGGTGGGTCGTCGAAAGGTTTA